AAATCAATTAAGGAAGTCGGGATTATAAACGATCGTTTAAAATAGACATGTATGAAAAAACTGGCTGGTTTGCGGTTGTACCTTTAACAATAGTCTATTGTTTTCCGTGTTTGTTGTTTGGTGATGAGCTCGGTGATGAGGCATGAGAATGGACAAAGAATGGCGTTACAGACTTAGTGCATTTATCCGAAAAAAATAAAAAATATCAATCTTCAAAGGCACATCATATATCTGCTAAATTGAGATTTAATTTATTAGGTAAGCAAGAAAGGCAGCAGTTAAATAGTGCATACCGTTTGAGTATCGAAAAACGTAATGAGGAAGTAAAAAAGAACAGGTATGTTTTACCCAAATTATAGACCGTATAAAATTTTGTGGTGCTTTGGAACTTGCTCTCCGCAACCATTGACAAATCGAGAAAATTCAATAAACCCTGGAGTATTTAGAGGTCTCATCAATACGCTTTTTATGCCATTTAATAGGCCCAAAAAACTTCGTGTTGCGGTGACACTCAAAAAATTTTCGCCTCCGGCTTTTTGCCCGTGGTCCCATTTTTAAATTGTGCACCCCCAAGACACACCACTACGCGCCGCCACTGCTCCCAGCCAGCGTATACACTCGTGAGTCGTGACGCCAACAAACAATTCCGGTAACGGTTTCTAAGAAGAAACACTATATCAACTATTCTTGTTTGTTTGGAGTTTCGAACATTTTTGCGACGTTGATTAAAAAACAATCATACATTGCCGATACTGTACTGTTAATTGTGAGAATTGAACATCTTTTGTTTCATCATGGCATACTTGGGTTCGAAAAATAACTTTTTAAAAAATTGGCTTTTTGATTTGGTTTTTCTCTGAAATTTTCTTATGGAAATATGTTTTGTTTATATCAGTGGAAAATTTGTGGTTTTGGCTAGCCCGAGGTATCATTTGTTTAGGAGGATGCAATTTGACATTTCTAAAAAGCATTACATTTGGCGAAAGTCAATCAAAAATTTTATTTTTTCCATAAAATACCTAAAAAAATTATGTGACTGTGACTGTCTTAACCCGTGCCTCAGTTCAAAACTTACCGCCTGCGCGATTTAGTTTCTCCCAAAAAAAATTTCGAAAAACTGTCAAAATTTTGACGAAAAAAGGTTATAACAGCGAAATCGTTGGGTATGTTGCATAAAAAAATATTACCTTTCAAGTAGATTCCAAATCAGGAATAAAATATGGGGTGTTCTATTTAAAAAAAATGCAGCACGCCCCTGGTGATCAAACACATTTTAGAAATATGGCGATGGTAATTGAGTACAATTTTGCTTTAAGGCTTTTGTCAATAACTTTTATGGTAAAGGAATTATATGACCCGAGGGGTCTTAGGTGCTACATCCTGTCAGTATAGGGACATGGTTTCACAGTTCCAAATATATAGGTAGCAACATAATTGTACAAAAAAATATTAATTGATTATATGTACAGTGTGTAAAGCGATGGGCCCTGTTGATGATATGATATGAAGATATAAAAAGGGTAAAAACGGTTTATTTTAAATATTTTTAAGTAAAATCCAGTGGAATAGTAAAAAATGTTGCCCGCTATTTTCGGGTACGGACGTTTCGCCCCCGCCGTTTCGCCCCCGACCGTTTCGCCCCCGCCCTTTCATCCCCAGCCGGTTCGCCCCTAAACCGTTTCGCCCCCGAACCATTTCGCCCCCAGAGTTGTACCCCTACATTTAACCATTGGCCCGACACGTTAAAACTGTATACTTGAACGGGCAGAACGTGCCCACTGGACCCTGTGCATTTTCATTGCTTGTATTCATCTATTAATTGCGTACCTACTGAAATTATTGAATTGTTTATAAATAAGCACAATGATCAGCAAGAATTTTATTTTTATTGTTTTAGCAGGTTACATATAAATATAAAAATAAGATATCTTAACATATTTCGCTGTACAATCGGAACAATTTCAAAATTCGAAGTTGTACGCTATCCCATGCAAATAATCGGTAAGATGGCGATCTTCAAAATCTTCAACGATTCTTTTGATTCGAGCTGATATTGCAACATACTTCTTGTTTCTTGGATTTCCTTGATTTCCTGCAATGGATTGTATTATTTCGTAATTATGAATACCTTGCTGCTTCCGCAAACATTCAATAAAACGAAAAATATTTGGAAATTGGGACCCACAAGTTTCTTGAAAAGCGCGGTGCCATCCCTCCACGTGATTATTTGTGCGATGTTGGTCGTTAAGAGTGCGCTGATAAACATTCCAAATTTGAGTTGGAAATAGTGGAATTTGACGCCCACGACGTAGTCTTCGACCAATATATGTGTCTTCGAAATAATTCGCTATGGGTACAGCCTCTTCAGGAAATCCTTCGGTTTCAAGTAATTCGGTGAATGAGTCGCTTACGTTATGTTCAGGAACAAACGCCAAAGCAGGAATCATTCTAATCCATCGAGCGAACTCATGGTCATTCTCGTAGCGAGCTTTGAGGCCTTCACTTTGCACCTTTCTCCAAACGGATTGCGATAAATGGAAAAAACATCCAGTCTTTAAAATACCTGGAAACTCCAATTCAAATGCTTGCATGGCAGCGAGTTCGAAATCCGTCATGAGTTGAGTTGGTTGCAGTCCAGGTTGCAAACGTTTCAATTGTTGTAAAAATGTAACATACGTAGCTCTTGTTTTATTCGGTAAGAGAGCGTACACTAGCGGAACAACGGCACTGTTTTTGATGGCGTGGAGGGTGTAAAGTTGTTCAAAAATAGCTGGTGCGGTACTGAACGTGCCATCTGCAAACCATTCTTGACTTTGGGCCAAAAGATGAAGGTTGCTTCTGGTTGAAAAGATGAGGATCCTTCCTGGCATCAGTTGATTCTCCGAATCGTACATTAGAAACTGTTGCACTTCACCATCAATAACGATTTCACTAAAACCTCGGGGAATCACCAATTCTTGCATATTTCTTGGAAGCGCAGGTGCTTCTTCATCTCGTCTGGCTCTGCGGATCGTTTTCTTCAATGCATCCTTTTTTGGCATGATTGCAGCAACATCTGCGTGAGCTTGTGGGATGACATTTGCTATAATTTGATGTGGGCTCTCCTGTGTCGTTGCGGCACGCTCCTTTACCGTCGTAACCAATCGAATGGCTGCTGGCCTGGCAGCTTGTGCTGCATGGTTATGATGCGTAACTGTTTTCACCACTTCACCATCTTTTCCGTTTGTCCATACTCGACCCTTGCAGCTTGATCGGAGTTCGCGCACCCATATCCCATGTTCTCCATTTTTTGTTTTTTTGGAGAAAACGTAAATGTGGTTTTCATGGACAAGTTTGTTCTTATTTCGCTTTGATAAAACGTGGTCCGCCATTGCTATCAATACGAGATGACTAAACGAGCCGTCACGAAACACACAATACAAATGATTGGACAATACTTATTACTGGCTTTTATAGCATTTTCGAATGTCGATTATCAATATTTCAGGTACTTAATGGTTGTGGAAGACGTAATTACAAAGAAATTAAAGTTTAGTATTAATTATAAGCATATTTGCTCTCTAAAATCACAAATTTTGCGTACAACAATGAGAAGAATGTTTACATAATTAATTTCGGTCATTAGGCCAGTCATTAGAAAGAGTGTATACACTTTCTAAAATTTTCAAATTCGCAGTCATGAATATATAATTACTCTGATTACAGAGCAATTAAAGTTTGGTGTCAATTATGCAACATATTCGGTGTCCAAAATTACAAATTTTCAATATGAGCCATTACAATTCTTGCTGATCATTGTGCTTATTTATAAACAATTCAATAATTTCAGTAGGTACGCAATTAATAGATGAATACAAGCAATGAAAATGCACTGGGTCCAGTGGGCACGTTCTGCCCGTTTAAGTATACAGTTTTAACGTGTCGGGCAAATGGTTAAATGTAGGGGTACAACTCTGGGGGCGAAACGGTTCGGGGGCGAAACGGTTTAGGGGCGAACCGGCTGGGGATGAAACGGCGGGGGCGAAACGGTCGGGGGCGAAACGGCGGGGGCGAAACGTCCGTAAAGCGCTATTTTAGAGGGTAAAACGTAAAAACGGTTTATTTTAAATATTTTCACGTAGAATCCACTGACAGTAAGAAAATTTTTGCCCACCATTCCTGATGTGATTTGACCCAAAGTCAAATACAACACTCTGTATGTCTTAACGTACACGTTTTGCATTATTTATGCTGATTACATTGCTGTATCACAAGACGGACGGACGGACAAAACGCAAAAAATAGCACATTTTTTTTAATTCTTAAAAGATGCGCTAAAAATGGGAAGAATCACATGACTCTAAAAATCTAAAAATTTAAATTAAAAGATTGTGAAGAATCTTTTTTGTGGTTCTAAAAAATCGGTAAGTTATCATATAAATCTTAAGATCCTGATGCAAATGCAAAATTAACAAGTAGTGAAGAATCTGAAACATGTTCTACTGACAGCGTCACGTCATACAAATGTCAGTGGCAACGGAGACTTTTTGAGACGTCTAAAATGTCAAACTATTATGTCATGTATGAGAAATGTCATGTTTTATTGACGTTTGAAGAAAAAATAAATATATTACCGAAAGTTGCATATGTCCAGAGATGGGTAAAATACTTTTCAAAATCTACTTAAAATAGAAAATACAAAATAAGAAATGCTAACTTATTTTAAATACAAGATACTAAATAGGTTTGGTATTTCAATTTAAAATACCAAATAGAAAATAAGTATGTCAACTAAATATTTCAAATAAGTACCTATCTCCCCGTTACATTGAAGGTTATTATTATAATATTCATAAAGCAAGGCGAGTAACTTCAGCGCTGTGATTTTCTCTACTAGAAGCATCTATGGTTAAAGTGTCAAAGAAAATCTTGATAAATAAAGAAGATGGCACTGACTGCGCATGCGCCCATCTAATTTTTGCAATATCAGTTATGTTTGCCTTTAAGGGTCCTCTATACATCCCGACGAGATTTGAAACGATCGGAGCGCCCACTAGTGTAGCTAAGTAAAAGTTGTTTTACCTGAATAGTTAAACTGCCAAAGGCAAGGTCACATGTCTTTGAGGGATTCCAAATTACATTACATAAATTAATTTAATTATAATTGCTGTACATTTCTAAACCTTCTCTTTATCTTCAACAGCAAATAATTTGGAATTTTCTAATGACACTCACAAAATTGTAAAGGGGCAATACCGGATTTACCACCCGAACTGAAGGTTACTAGTAATGAAGAAATTAAAAACAATTAGGTAACGAGTTTTCATCCGCCCATTTAAAGAAATTATGGTATACCTACCTAACCCTTTAATGGAAATTTAATCCAACGGTAATTATTTATATTGATGCATTACTATTTTTCTCTGCTAATTTCATATTTAAAACCACTTTCATCAGTGACTTACACTCATTATTTAGTGCGCTAATTTGTTTGTTTTAAAATTTTTTAATATGCCGAAGTGTATGGGGAGTTTGTCACGAAGTTTAAAAAGTCGAAAATCCGCAATGAAGAAATTGTCGCAAAGGTAAGTAATTACACTTACTATATATAATTAATAAACGTAATAAAAAAGTAGCCAAAATCGTTCATTATAGAGTAAGGGGGTTGATTTACTATTCATGTGTTACATATTTTTTGGGCATGGACTTTATGAGTATGCGTATTCAATATATTTTTGTCTGTAGGAGATGGAATTCTATAATGCCCAAAATGGACCAAGTAGTCCCCACAACAGTGCCTCTTTGCAGTTCAAATGATGTTGATAACAATTCTTCTGATAAAACTGGGCCACCTGATTATTTAAGCAAAGGTGAAGAAGAAGCAGTTGTTAGTACTAGTTGTTATAATAGTGATTCTGATACGGAGTTGGACGAACTAGTCCTTGAACTTGAACCTGAACCAATAGCGTCCTGTAGTTATGACAATATAGATAGCAACTTTGTCAATGCAACTGATCCATTTCACAATTTCAACAAAGATGACGAGGAAGTAATTACTACCATTAGCGGCGATTCTAGTGACGGCACTGATATCTCCAATGAGACAGATCTGGATGTTATCAAACCAAAAAAAAGTAATTGCTTAGTAAGGCGGCGCATAATTGAAATAAAATATTTTCTGGACGAATTAAGATCTTTGAAACACAAAGGTAAGTACATTTAAAACTAAAATTAATAGAGATATAATGCTAATATGTATTTCTGTTTTAGGGTTTGACTGTTCTTTTTTTGATATGGAGGTTTTATCCGAAAAAATTGAAGGATTTCAAAGTAAAATATCATTTAAATGCAACGTTTGTAATATTGTCCAAATTGTTAATACAGAAAATCCGAATAAGAAGGATTTTCCAACAAATTGTGCCGTTGTCGCTGGAGCAATATCAATTGGGGTTGGATATTCTCAAATAAACGAGTTTGTATCATGTTTAAACATTCCAAATATGTCCAATGCAACATATTTACGCTATCACTCTAATTTGAGTAAAAATATACACGACGAAAACATTAAACTAATGAATACCGCTGCCCAAGAGGAAAGAAGGTTGGCTGTTGAATCTGGCCACGTATCTGAACAAGGTGTTCCTATAATTCCAGTGATTGTGGATGGCGCATGGAGTAAACGTTCCTATCGTACAAACTACAATGCTTTATCTGGAGTTGTAAGTACTTTTTTCTATGTTACTGAAAACATTATATTTGCTTCTTTCTAGGCCTGTATAATTGGAGCGAAAACTAAGAAAATTCTTTACATGGGGGTTAAAAATAAATACTGTTTCGTCTGTACTAGGGCAAGTACTCCAGTAGAACATTCTTGTTTCAAAAATTGGGATAGAAGTTCCACGGCAATGGAAGCTGAAATAATCGCCGAAGGGTTTCAATCATCTATTAAAAGTCATAATTTGATCTATGGCAAAATTATTGGGGATGGGGACAGCACTGTATATAAAAAAGTTGTTGAGGTATCCCCATATGGACCAACTTTTGTTGTAGAGAAAATTGAATGCCGAAATCACCTCATTAGGAATTACATAAATAAAATTTCAGAATTGTCCAAAGATACCAAATTCCCCATTCATCTCAGGAGAATAGTAACTAATACAGATGTTTTGGGTCGCTTCCGAAACGCGATAACGAAAGCTATTGCCTTTAGAAAACAGGGTCCTGATGCTGAAAATACAAAAGTCGCTCTTTTAAAAAAAGATATTGAAAATGGGCCAAATCATATATTTGGGGACCACTCTAATTGCGACGGTTACTTCTGTTCTGGAAATAAAGATCAGGTAATGATATTGACGCATTGTTGCACAGAATAATTTTACGTTATTTGTATCTGTTTAGGAAAATTTAGTACCTACATTAAAATTGTCTGGTATTTTTGAACCAATTGTCACTGCAAATCGTAGACTAGCAAATAATGCTGCTAGTTTGTTACAAGATGTAGACACAAATGCAGCCGAAAGCTACAATTCCGTCGTTGCCAAATTTGTCGGTGGGAAGCGGATCAATTATTCCTTAAAAAACTCTTACCAGACTAGATGTGAGGCGGCTTCGATTTCATACAACACTGGTGGTGGTTTTCTTGCAAAAGTTCAAGAAAGAATGTGTGGTACTATTGATCATTATACCCGTATATTTCACGAGCGGAAGATGCGAATGTTACATGTAAATAGAAGTAAGTTGGTATTATTTCATTAATTTCTTTTTAATTAGGAGTAATATTTTTCTAGAAAAAGCACCGAAAAGAAAACATTTTGCTACAGCAGACAGTCATTATGGGCCTAGCGCAAACCAACCAGAGGAGGACATGGGCTCAGAATTGTATAAAAAAAAACGTCAAGAGTTCCTAGAAGTTTTACGATGTGCGGACAAGAAAAAGATTTGTATGGAAACGGCATCGCAATCAAAGTCCAACCTTTGGTATCAAGAGCGCAAAAAACGAATTACCGCTTCAAATTTTGGCAGAGTTTGTAAACTACGCAAAACAACTTCCACCGCTAAGCTAGTTTCACAGTTGCTTTACACTACATTTGCCGGTAACAGTAGTACAACATTTGGTTTGGAAAATGAAGAAACGGCAATTAAATTATTTCAAAATGCTCATAACGTCAGTGTAACGCAAAGTGGTTTGGTAATTGATGATGAATTACCATATTTGGCTTGCTCCCCGGATGGATTAGTGGGTAACAATTGTATAATAGAAATCAAATGTTCACCAAAAAGTGGGCCCTTATCTCCATTGGAAGGCGCAAAACAAAAAAAAATTGATTTTTGTGTAATTGAAAATGGCAAACTTACACTCAAACGAAGTCATAATTACTATTACCAAATACAAGGCGCATTGCATATTTGTAAAAAACAACTGTGTTATTTTATAATATATACATTAGGAGGATTACATGTGGAAACCATTGAACGGTAAGCTAAGTTCTAATTTTCAAACAAAAACAATAAAATTATTTTGTAGCGATGACGATTTTTGGGAAACGAAGATGAAAGAAAAATTGGCCGACTTTTATTTTAATTCGTTACTGCCAGAAATTATCGATCCTAGGAGATGCCGCCAACTTCAATTGCGAGATATTTATAGCAAAATCTAATAGCTTTTTTTATTGTCATTGTTGTCATTTTAATAAAACATATACAATTTTAATTGAAGGTAATAATTACTAGGTGTTTTAATTTAGCTGCTTATTAGTGATTAAATAATACAATGTGTCTAATGATACCATTATTTTTCTGCAATACAATACAATTTTCAGGTAAGTGAGTAGGTGCAACTAATTAGCATTCCATTTACCTCTTGTAATACTTTGGGAATTCCCTAATCCCTCTTACACATTTCAACTTTTAGCCTGAAGGCAATGTGTCATTTCGGATTTTTATGCAGATTTCATCAAACTTTTACTCCTCATAACGCAATTAATAAAAAAGTTGAAAAGAATTGCTCAATATGTAGCAATTCTAACGCTTAATTCGAACTTATTGTCGGAAAGATTTTTTTGATAACTTCATTGGTTCGCTAGATCCGTTAATTACATAAAAAACGTAAAAAAACGATCCGGCAAAATTTTCGCCGCACCGTGTACATTAATATCCAGGTTCTAGAAATTTGTAGACTTCAACCCTGATGACGTTATGAGGGTCGAAAGTTTGTAAAAGCATGATGGGTTGCCTAACCCCTCTATAGAGGACCCTTAACAGAAGCATCTGTTATTAAATTTTCAAAAAGATATCTCGATAAATAACGTTGATATTGCGCATCCTGCGCATGCGCGCATTAATCTGATGTTAGAAAATGCGATACGTTTGCTTACACTAAAAGCAACTTTGGTTAAAATTTCAAAGAAATATCTCCATGAGTAAGAAAGTTGCCATTGCGCAGTCAGCGCATGCGCAGAACTGATTTTTACTACATGCGATATATTTATTTATTGTCCCTCTTGTTCTAGGCCCTCAACAGGCTTACGCCCAATTACACAGTGACCCGCATAATGCTTTTTAGAGGTGCCCCTGCAGAAGGTCTTAAGTTGTTCTATACTACTCCGGTATTTACCTTACAAATAGGAAAACTGCAGGAAAACGTAATTCGGAGTAGCAGGCAGAATGCTCGAGACTGATCTAAGGAAACTCCCATCTTTGCCACAGATGAAAACTTCACCTCAAACCAGGTCCGAACACCAGACCTCCGGATTTATAACCCAACGCTCTACCACTGAGCTATAATGCCGCATATTTTGCCTTTACCAGAAGTATTTGTGGTTAAAATTTCAACAAAATATATTAATAAATAAGGAAGTTGACATTGCGCAGTGCGCGCATGCGCAGTTTAATTGTCAAGATTTTCCTTGGCTCAGATGCTAGAGCTATGCTACCGAATGCAAAAAGAATGAACTTAATATCTTGAAAACTGTAGGAGTAGTTAAGACCTCGTACAGACGGACGGACAGTGACAGTGGCTGCAATAGCGCACTCAACTTCGTTGGAAAATGCGCTAAAAATCGTTTCTCATGATTTAACCATTTGCATGCGCTTCTGTTAAACATCTCGTTCCACAGGAGTCGACGAAGGAACTGTATTGTTGTACTTAAAAACAGTTCTCTTACTATTGGATATTGATCCAACATAGGCAAGTCCATAGATAACACTAAAACCATAGAACGATACAAAATTGATGATACAAAATTAGTTTTTCTTACATAGTTCAGAAATGTTTCAAATATAAAATAGAAAATACCTTGAGAAATCTATTTCAAATACAAAATATAAAATAGTTTTTATAAGTTTATTTGAAATACAAAATACAAAATAGTAGGTATTTTGTATTTTAAATACCTATTTAAAATAGATTCATTTGAAATAATTTAATTACCCAGCTCTGCCTACACCTTCCAATGCTTTTCAACATAACTACCGGTTTGATTGAGGCATTATTGTCATACTGGTGGACCAGCTTTTCAATATCCTATCACCTTTTGCCAAATAAAGAGATAGCTATGAGAGCAGACCTTGCTTATACCATTAGACAAGCTTCAAAACACAATGAAGACCAACATTTTTTAATAAATGTGTTTCCGATGCTCTTTCTTGTGTGCAATGATTCGAAGGGATCCAAAAATTATTTTTTTCAGTTTACTGACGGAAATAGTGTTTTATTGATTAAACTTTTACCATTAGAGTGTAAATTCACAGCATAAATTGTGACGATTTGCGGGCATTGAGCTGCGATATTAGTATACTTTTACGCTTGTAGGGTTAATTTAACTCGCAGATCTACTAGTAAAAATTTAGATTCCTAACTAAGTGAACCCCGAAGAACTTTTATGATGGTCTACATATAGGTACTTTATTAAGATAATCGCAGTAAGTCTTCATACAAGGAAGTATGAAATGAAAACCACATGCAATTTAATATAAATGGTTTACGAGCAATAAATGTTCTCCCTTTATGGACACTTTTACTTAACTGGACAACTTTTTATTAATAAAAAAATACCTTCCAAGTATGCAAATTATTCTGCTTGATAAAAGTTTATAACTTACTTAAACGTTATTATATTTTGAATATACCCAACTATAACACAATAAAATTGAACTTTTTCAGTCGTACTAAGTAACAAAATACGATAAGGTGATTTCACGTGCAGAATTTGTGTTTTGTAAACGAACAAACACGGTAACTAGACAAGTAGTAGGTTTTACGTCACGAATTACGAGTATGTTAAAGTTGCAAGTAGCTACTGCGACGGAGGCCATTGGACCAGAATAGGGATTCTCCAAACAGTAACTGTACGAGTATGAGTTTTGTTATGGTCTTCTAGAATTACAAAGACTACATACGCATCAGAACTAAAGATTAAAATGCAAAAGATAGGCAAATGAAAGAAGTCTGACTGGGCGACAGAACACGGGCCCAAGCGCTACTTCACCTCGCAACCATTATGTAAATCCGGGAATATCTTCTGCAAGCTTGTATCAGTTACGAGATGATTGATTTACAGCGCACGAGTGCAAGTATCTTTTCTTGCGGACCAAGAATGTGTATGGTGGCATGCTTAGTATTTTAACACAGAAGATTGTTATCAGCATTTGTCAACATTATCGAATTCCCAAGTAAAAAGAATAAAATTTCTACAATATTTTTATGGATTTATGAATAAAATCGAAGAGTCTGAAAATGTTTAGATAGACATCTACCTGTTGGAACATCGTTAACAGAACGAAATATACGCAAGATGGAATTCTAAATTATGGTATCACAAAATTATTTGTGTAAACTGATGTGAGTTATAGATTATGGCATTTTCTAAATGTTTTTCAACAGATTCCTTTTTATGTTTTAATACGACAACTCAGTTGCCACTTGCAAGAAATATGAAAAGAATGTGTCTTAGACTCTTAGCATGGAAAAATTGTAGACCCTATTATGATGAAACTTGGTTTCTAATCAGAAAGGAGCGAACAGATTTCCTCTATTATTCGGAAAATGTAAACGAAAGTATGCGAGACAGAAATGTTTAAATACGTTAAAATAGTTTCACCTATGCTTTCGGTTCTGTTCTAACGGTACTATAGGACTATACTATAACCAATAATGATTTATTAGTCAATTTTTTTGTATCTATTTTTTTTAGTGAGGAATGACTAAGCTTTTTACTTTCCGACTATAGACTTATAGTATGTATAAAGGAAAGTATTGTAATTGTGACACATTTTCGATAGGCCAATGCGTTTCCTGAACGTTTTGAAGCACACAGACCCCAAAAAAGTGATTTTTAGCTTGACGTGTGTGAAAGAGGATGAGGGTGTGTATGTGGTTCGTTTTTTGTGAACACGATAACTAAAAACCCCCTGAACCGATTTGGACGAAATTTGGGGTGCATATAGGGTGGGATGGGAAATCAAAAACGTCCTATTTTGGTATTGATCCATATGTCAAAAGTTTTTTTCGCGTACACTGGTCAAAATGGCTTAAAAACTACAAAAAAATTCATTAATATAAAATTATATGTGATATGATGCTATATATGTGAAGAAGTGGACAAATGTTCAAGCGTAACAGAAATGACAAGTAAACGTGTTAATTATTAGCGGAGCAGTGGAAAATATCGATTTCATTTTTTTTTGCGCGTTTATGATAATCACAAGACGGCGTCACTTGTCCAAATGCATGGTAATGTCGAATAAATTATGTGTAATTCTTATGCAGGATAACTTGGTTTCATATTCATGCCTGAGAATAAACTTTCCCCCCTAGGTACTTGAGTAATAAAATTAATTATTGCCGAGATTGACTAATCGGAGGACCGGCTAATAAATTAACTTTTATTAATAATCCTGTATTTTGAACTATCGGCTTACGATTTATGAACTAAGCGTCCATCTGGTCGGGATACATACTCACGAAGTTCTTATACTTGATCTTACAAAACGTTTAATTCATACCAGAAGTTGTAGATATTGAAAAATTATTTATGAAGTGCACTCGTTCGCTTAGTTTCTTGCGACGTATGCCTCCTAGGAGGTGTTACTTTCTTGTCATGACCACGTGCTGCTGTTACCATATCAAGGTATGCTGTTTACGACCTTAGCTTAGTTATAACTACTCGACAGCTCGTACTTGTTTTAAATTGCGCACTTACCTCTACAAATAATAGGCCTGTTCGTTTCGGCTCAATTTGATTAAAGACAGCTCAGATATAAAGTAGAATCAAAAGAGATTTCAGAGAATAAATTCTTATTATGAATGATCGCGAATAATGTCCTCCCTAAATAGCATGTCGACAGATTTACATGTGCGTATATAACTAAAAGCGGACTGTTTATGAACTAGCCGAAGACTAGTTCTTGTTAAATTCCATGCAGAAAGAAATATAATTTTCCTGTCAATTTTAAATCATGTGGCTGTGGCGGTTCCAACTCTAAAAGCTTAGTCCATTTCAATACCCTTAGAAACGATTCATATTTATACTGTTAATAAACAATGGCATTAATGGAACAGTTACTGGATTACCTCTAATTTGAAACCGGTTACCCAGTCTAATACGAGCCATATACCAATTTTACGATACGTATTGTACCCGGATAACTTAACTTTTGGATACATGTACCTAACGTCCAATGATTAGCCAATGGCATAAAAGCTTGGGGCAT